CTGATCACAGTGACAGACCAACAGCAGCAACAATCCTATTGAAATTTAACCAGAATATTCACAGTATAAAAACTACATTAAATATTTATAAATACACTTCTAGCTGTAGAATAATGGAGCCCTCAGCAATTCATAAAGTCAAAGACGTTCATTATTAAATCAATCCTCCTTGACCCTCCTCCCTTTTCTCACAATTTCAGCCTTGTTTTCCTTTTAACATAGTCTGTGGCCTTTATTAATGATGACAATAATCCTGCTGCGATAGAAACTGAAAAACTGAGACATAAAACTTGTTTTATGTTTTTTTAAGCTTTGCCTGATAAAAGGTGCCTGATTGGTTTTAGTCTCAGCGAACATCAATCGGACTCTTCTGAAGGCCTCTTTCATTAGACCCATCAGTCAGACACCTACTTCTCATCTTGAATACAGAGCAGGTTTTAGTGATGTTTATCAAATGTCAAATCATTCCTATTCTAAAGAAGACGATTAAGCAAAAGAGATGTCTTTCAGCTTTTTCTTCCAGCTTGCTCCCTTGAGCTTCACCGCAGGAGATCATCTGTTCCATCTAAGCTGATCCTCTGCATATCCTCCTTCACTGCATCCATGAATCTTGCTCTTTCCTATCAGTACTGCACATGTCCAAACCATTTCAACATCTCTTACTTTTCTCAACCTGAGCTGTCACTCTGATGAACTAATTTTTTTATCTTATCCATTCTGGTCACTTCCAATGAAAATTGAAATAGCATTATGTCCACAAACCATCATAGCAGGTCCCACTAACACCTTATAAACCTTCCCTTGCACTCTTGCTATTATCCTTCTGTCACAAATCAACTGACACTCATCTTCACCCTGCCTGCACTCTCTTCTTCACCTGTCTAGTGGACTGTCTGTAGCATACCTCCACCTCTCCAGGCTTTCTTTCACCTTCTCCCTACAGGTCAAAATGTCATCTACACACATCAGAGTCCACAGAGAATCTTGACTGACCCCACCAGTCAACCTGTCCATCACCACTACAAATTAGAAGGAGCTCAGAGCCAATCCCAGATGTATTCCCACCACCATCTTGACCCACCTGTTACTCCTGCCACTGTCTCCATGCATATACAGTACCACAGTTCCTCTCTTGGCACGTTATCATACGCTTTGTCTAGATCCACAAAGAGTGGATTGCAGCTCCTTCTGACCTTCTCTGTATTCTCCATCAACACTGTGAAAGCAAACATCACACCTGTAGATTTCTCTTAGTATGAAACCGTACTGCTCTATCCTTAACCATACTAACCTACTGCACATCATCTCTAGCTCGATCTCTTTGCATAGTCAATCCATACAAGTTCTTCTCTCCTTCCTTAGTGTCCAGCCTCACATACAACTCACAACAAGCCTTTTCTGTTGCCTTTAGTGCCTCACTTTATTCCTGCCGACTATTTTCAACTCTCTGACTATCCCATTTTTTCTCTGCCAAGCGCATCCTTTAAAAATAGACGTCTTTCAGCCGTCTGTCATTTATAGCATTAAGATGTCTGGTCATGGTCAGTCTACTCCAGTACTGTTTTGGTACAGATTATGTCTGGCTGTGCAGAGTGGACACAATCAAGATTGTAATTTCAGCTAATGGCACCTCACTTTCATCAAGTCTCATAAAACATCTGGTGAAATGCATTTTTAAATTGCTGTTTTTGCCAGGGAAATGAGCACTGTCACACACTGATGCACCCATTTAAAATCAGCCGCCTACTTCTACTGACACACAAACACTGTGACTGTCACTGTGGCCTTTTATGGTCTCTTCTTCACTAATTACTGCTCTATAAAATGTACAAGTCAAGTCAGGTGGTTTGTCTTGCGACCCGTTTTCTTTCACATAACAGTTCAGTTACAGGTACAGAGAATCATTCCTCATTTGAGTGATTTTCATGCAGGTCAAACAAATCCTTATGTGGCAGTGTAGAAGTTTATAAAGTCTACCAGCTCCTGTGCAACAGCACACTCGAAGCAGGACTCCAAAATTGGCAGCCGTATTGATGTGCATCCAGTCATTTATTTGTGCCATTATTTTTGAAGCATCATCTAAAATAACTACAGTTACCAGCCAAACCTGATTAAAAGAAAAAATAGAACTCGCCCATAAATTTCAGTTTTCTGATTTTCTTAATGTCATCTCTCTTTCTTTTAATATCTCAGGTTTTTTAGCTGAGCCAAGAGGGTATTTGATGGAAAATGACGTGTCAAAAACATTGTAAAGGAACTCACTCTTTCACCCTCCTAGCATTCAACAACCATGAAGCAACAGCTCAGTTTTTCTGGCTATGTGGTTTGGATATGCAGACCAAAACTTTAAATCATCTCCTATAAACCAAACGTCCATGCCAACGTAATCCTACCCAGAAACAAGACCACAGATCCAGTGCACTGTGTGTCATTTACAGTCACATTTAAGTGCAAAGTACTTCATAGTATTTCAACATTTACTGGTTTCACATGATTTAAGACGGTAAGTAGTAACCAAGTGCACTTCATTGGTCATCAGCAGGTGGGAACACTTTTGTAAAGGCAGACGTTTTGGCCATTTGCTGTTCTGGAGCATGTTTGTGTTAACACAATGCCACAGTCTTCCCAGGAGTGTCCATCCAAGCAAATTCACTCCAAGATCAAACAATTTAATGCTCAGAGAAACAGCAAAAAGCTCAAGAGCCACTCAAACTCTTTTTTGCGCCACGGACCGGTTTATGCCCGACAATATTTTCACGGACCGGCCTTTAAGGTGTCGCGGATAAATACGACAAAATAAAACTAGTACCGGTACCGAAAAAAAGAAGATTTATTCATAACACACGTGAAAAGACCCAGGAAAACCGAGTAAACGATAAAAACGATAACAAAATAACGCTAAAAACCGATTAAAAACCCTGAAAACTATACATTTCACACCTGAACCTCAACTCTCGCGGCCCGGTACCAAACGACTCACGGACCGGTACCGGTCCAAGGCCCGGGGGTTGGGGACCGCTGCTCTAGAGGCCTCTGTTAGCATGGTAAATGTTAAAGTTCATGATGCCACAATTAGTGAAAGGCTGAACAAGTACGATTTGTTTGGAAGGGTTGCCAGAAGAAAGTGTTTGCTCTCTAAACAGAACAATGGAGCACAGCTTATGTTTGCAGAGTTGCATCTAACCACAAGACTTTTGGAAAAATGTCCTCGCAACAGACACGACCAAAAGGGAGATGTCCAGCCATGATGCACAGCACATATGGTAAAAGATAAATAACATATCATACCAACTGTCAGCATGGTGGTGGAGGGGTGATGGCTTGGGCTTGCTTTGCAGCCACAGGACCTGGGCACCTTGCAGTCATTATAATATTGAAGAGTTCATGCCAGACCATTCAATGATTCATTCAATGATGCGAAAGACAAAAGCAAGAATGAATCAAGTTGTTGCAATGGCCAGTCAAAGTCCAGACATCAACCTGACTGAAATGCTGCGGCGTGACCTTCAGCGAGCTGCGCATAAACAAATGCTTGCAAACCTCAATGAGCTGTGAGCGATAAAAATTATTTCCTGTACAAGTTTATCAAGTTATTGCTGATAAAGGTGGGTCTACAAGCTACTGAGTCACTGGAAAAAACATTTTTCACAGCAAGCTATGGTCACTTACACATTCATCACGGGATATTTTTTCATTTAAAAAAGCAAGGGAAGGTAAAGATTATGATTATTAATGATTATGTTGTTGAAAAGATGGATTATCATAGACTTGCCTATTAGGAAATTGGTGTAGGATGTTGGGTCAGATTTATCTCATAATCTGCAACATTTCACTCGCACATTAACAGTGGAGGGCTGAAATAATTTATACTGCAGGTTATTTTAATATTACACCATTTAGAAGCAAGCAGACCTCTCATCCCTCTTTTTTTTTTAATAAATCTGCTTCAGCCTATTTTTGCACATCTTTCTTCTTTACTTTCATTTTGAAGTTCCTGGAACAAGAACATCCCATGGCCATTAAAAACATTTATTTTATATGTTGCAACAACAGATGGCCAACTCATTTAATCTTTGCTGCACTCATTTAATGTTCCCACAGAACAAGCCTGTAAATCATTTATAGTCCCAAAATCAAAACCAAGACCACAGCATTACATTAGATTTTGTAGATATAATATCTGGCAGTGGAGTTTTTGCTTCAGAGAAATTCAGTTTTGTTTCTGTCCTCTTTGAAAAATATCTGACATCATCTTGTGGCATAAATATGTACAAGAGAACAAGTTTTGGTCTTCATACTGGGAGTTTGAGCTAAGCTTCCCTTATCACTTAATCCCAAGGACTAACGATAAGAGTCAGTATTTAGTGCCTCGTTCTCTGCTCAGCTACAAAGTATTTTCCTTTTCTGGTCATTTTTCCTCCACACAGCTTGTGTGACGCAAATGTAGGAGGGATGGCGTAAACTGTTATCTTTTTTTTCTTGATTCATGCACAACTAGTACATGTAGATAATACAAATCTAGTTGATACTCGTAGTACTCATACATACTGATGGTCCCACACTCATTCTGTTCCCACAAACACATATCTATGCACAGCATACCTCACTGATGCACTGGTGTTGATAGGGTACCAGGTGGTGCTGAAATAAGTGCTACTTGACTACATTTTTCTGCTGAATTATGGCAATGATAGCATTGTCTCAGGCTCGCCACTGTTTCTCACAGTACTGTCTGTTTAGTAATTTTCAACCAGTCTTCCAGGCAGTGGATTGTGGGTCAGTTAAAACGGGAAAATGAAAAAGAAATCTTTAAAGGACTGCAAATAACTCATAGAACCACCTCCAGCAGCACTAGCTTGAAGTAATCACTTTCTGTATGACTTTATTGTACAGAAAGTGATTTTTCAGATAACTGTGGAAGAATTTTGAACAAAATCTTTATATCGATAATTTAGTTCATTGAGGTTTGGATCATTGCCACACCTTGATTTTTCTCTTTCAGCCATTCTGTTATAACATTGTCCTGTTGCATGACCCCACCTGATATCGTGGTTGACTCAATAACTGCAAAGTGCTCAGGTCCTTTGGCTCCAAAACTAGCCCAAATCATGAGGATTTGGTACTGATATGCTATTTGCTTTTCACCAGAGTGCCTCTGAGTCCAAACAACTTGATCAAATTATTTCTGTAACAGTACATGAGCCTTCCACACCATATTTGGCCTAGCAGGAGTCTGCTTCTCGTGCACAGTAAGAAAACAGTGTATAGTCACCTTGTTCCACCAGATAAAGTAATACCCAGACAAAAATCATCACAGAAAAAGCTGTTTTGCATGTTAATTTGGGAATCAGAAACCTGCGGTCAGCTTCTCTTTGGGGGGGGGAAAAGTAATTGTGGTACCAGTTGTGAAAAGCTGGCTGTGAGTAGTTTTCTTTATAAGGATGGTGAAATTATAGCAGTATGTTCCTGATGTGTTTGAAATCAAACCAAACTATGACAAGCTGGACCGTCAGTTATAATTAGCAAAGCATATTTTGCTGCACTGCTGTTGGCTTTGTTTTCATCGTCTGCACAACAGCTACCATCCAGAATGGGACATCATCATCATCATCTGTTTTTGGAAGACAACACCAACTGCAAAGCTTATTGTATAGTTTTCACACAGACACAGTGTCTTTCCTGGGGGGTTAAAGTGCTCCCACATGCATTTATTGTGATAAACAGGAAAATACAAAACAAAAACATCTGTACATTCATAAAGGCAAATTAACAACCTAACAACAACTGTAATTTAGAATAAAATAAGTAGTGGGGGTTAGAAAACTGCTACAGAGAAAAGACATCTTCATCCTGAAGCCAGCATCCAAAGCCCTTGGGGCTTCTCGGCAGGAGGAGCAGAGTGTATGTAGATATGAGTGTTTTTCTGTTCTTGGCTCTGGAGCAGCAGGAGTATATGAGGGTGGATGAGCACAAAACCAGGCACAAACAAAAGCTTAAAACGACAGGCTGCTATAGGGGATCCTGAAAAATGAAGGAAAACCAAATTAAATAAAGGATTAAGTTGATTAAAACAGACTTAATGTAACAATTAGAGAACCAATTTGGAAAGGCTTAGAAAGTCCAAATGTTGTCATGAATGTTTAAAAAAACAAAAACAAAGACAACACAGAAAATTGACTTTTTGAGCCAAATTCTTCTAACCAACCTGATTTGTTATCATCTTTATTGTTTTGAGGTCTTCTCCAATACCCAATCAATGACCTGCAACAGAAAAATGTGATTATAAATGTGTGACTTGAAAAACTAAACCAGAGAGACGCTAATGTTTGTAGCATTACCTGCTTAACATTGCTGCTTGCTGCCTTCCTCATCTCATCATGCAGACCCCGAGATGTCTTCAGATCCTGGGAACAAGCATCAACAAAGCTCAGTATCAGATCATTTCCAGCTGGTGGATTAAAAGCTGTATTTTTCTGAGTTCATAATACCATTAATTTTGACAAGATCTCCAACACCACTGGCTGAAATGTAGCCTCAAACCATGACAGAGCTTTCTCTGTGCTGTAAACACTCACTTTTGGATCTCTCTCCTGACCTCCTCTGTACATATTTGTAGACGAATTGACACAAAATGTCTAGTTTGGATTCTTCACTCCGTTGCCACTGATTTTCAGTCCTGTTCTTGTGTGATTTGGAATACCTCAGCCTTTTCTCCCTTTGTTATGAATGGCTTTCTCGACAGGCAGCCTTCCACTGAGACCATTTCTGATGAGGCTTCAGTGAACAGTAGATGGATCAACTGAAGGGCCAGATGCATCTGTTAGGTCTTTTCTGGATTCGTTTCTTGTTTCTTAATGAGATGTCTTGGAGAACCTGTTTTTAGGTCTCTTCTTTTGTACTCCACTTGCTAAGTTTTCTCAGGTTTTTTAAAGGACAGTAAGACATGTCGAGATATGCCATATTTTCAGCCAGTAGCTCTTTAGGAATCAGCTTGTTAGTGCAAAAATAATATTTTATGCCTGTCAAACTATGCTCTCTTTGGCATTTTGCTCTTTTTTTAGATTCAAGTAAAGAAATGGGAACACATTACGTGTTTGTGACAGGCTGCTAGTAACAAAGTATTTAAAAATACAATTTAAAATTGATTCTTTGTCAAGTTTTCTGTTATATGTAGACAACACTTGTTCATCCATCAAGTCAGGGGATTTTCTTTGACGCTTGAATGATTCATAGGTCAGTGTGAAGTGGCTTAACAAACAAAAAACATTCCTCTGAAAATCATCAGAAAGCACTGGACTGAAAGTGAGTGAAAAAGCAGCCAAATGGCCAAAGAAAACCTTTGAAAGCCTGGAGAATTATTGCTTTAAGAAAAACTGGCAGCTCGAGACTTTTACACAGCACTGTAAACTTAGGTTCCCTGCAGTGTCTTAGAAAAAGGCAGAAAATCTTGAAATTAACATCGATTTATAGCTATTTAAGTAAAGGATCTGAGTACACTGTGAAACAAAACCAGATGATTAAGAAACACAAGGAAGCACAAAGAAATTAAAAAGTGAGTAGTGGGAAAAAAGGCTTTTTTTAAAGGTTCCAGTTGCTGGCATAGTAAGAAGTATACAGAAGGATACAAAACAAAACACAAGTCCTGGAATCATAGAGTAATACAAATAATGAAAGTGTCAAACAAAAGCACAACACTGACTCTGAGAGGGCAGTAAAAAGACAAACCTTGAGATAAAATTTCGAGATATCAAACAGTCTTTTGCTGCAAGCCTCAAAGCAATCATGCTCAGCAGTGATCCCATGGTGTTTGAGTGTTTTAGCTACTACCTCCTGCAACATCTGAGGACACAGACAAGACAAGATAGACACACTTTTGTATTAGTACAAGCAAAAAACATTAAATCTAGTTCTGTTTATTCCCTAACCACCTAACGCAAGCCTGGTTCAGAGAAACTAAATTTAGCATAGCTCCCTTTTTAAAAAAACCGAGGGATGTCAAAATGTCTCGAGTTTGGGGGACGTCCTTACATGAAAACGCACGATTTTACATTCGCAGCATGGAGGAGCAAACATACAAATATTTCACCGCTAATGGCGACAGGATGAAGAAAAAAAAAATGAAACAAACACATTCATGAAAGAAACAGATCCTGCCTTTAATCTTGTCACAACAACTGTTCTGAGTAAACACCATAAATTATTGTGAGAAATCATTGGTACCATTCAGTCTCACGAGAGGAGTAGAAAGACAGCTTTTAATCTCTGTCCTGAATAAACTGCTATCATTATTTTTCAATAGGACCAACTGTTCTTTCCTATGCTTGGGTTTGGATGATAAGTGTGTTTGCATAGTAATCAGAATTAGAACAAGTCAAGGTCAGATTGCTTGCTGTAGGTGGAACAAACTAAACTGGGAAGAGGTAGGTGTGCGTGTTCAATTGTATATGTGCATGTGTCCATTAATGTGTTATGGTGTCTGCATGCTGCACATAGAAGTAAAAGATGAGAGAGAGAAATGTGTGTGTGTGTGTGTGTGTGTGTGTGTGTGTGTGTGTGTGTGTGTGTGTGTGTGTG